TATATATATATATATATAAACAAATAAACATGAAATACAAATATACAAATAAACGATTACTGTTGAGTATTGTCTGATTGTAATAACATTGATATTGAATCGATATTGAATTGATAATCATTAAATAAACGTCGACATTTCTCTGTGGATGTATTTCGAAAATACTTTTTGGTGTAGTGTGTCTGGCTGTGCGATATAATAATTGTTTGGCTATATAAGATAAGGAATGCGCAGAACATAAGAGAGAGGCAGGCCTCGGCGGTTTTTAAGAATTCATCATCCACGTGAAAAAAAAAAAAATTCCTTTTTCCAAGATACCTTTCGTATTTGAATAGGAGAACAATTTTTTTAGCCTTCATTTTGAAACGTCAAACTTTTTCTTTTTTTTTTTTTTTAATGGGTATATGTATATTCCTCTGTACCTAGTGAGAATCGGATGATGAATTTTTTTAAATTCAAAGGCTCACCCAATTCCTGTAGTAGCGATGGAGTGAGTGCAACTGCGCAAACAACCGCAAAAATACTTGGATATCCTGTGCGTCAATTCAATGTGCAGCGGAAAGTATTTATTATTTATGCTTAGTGAAAAGATAAGGACAAGGGTCGATGAATAAAAGGAAAAGACACGAATTCCGTTTTTTCCTTATCCTTCTAAATGTGTGTACGTCGTCATAAGTAAGGAGAAAATTAATGTGCGAGCGTGAATAAATACTGTGTTGTATATGCGTACGTGTGAGAGACTGAAAACAAAATACCTGCTAGCAATTGCCAGATTGTGGAACTCGACGTTTTATATGAATTTTCCTTTTTTTGTAAGACACTTTTTCGTCCTGTTTCATATATAAAGAACAAAAAAATGTTTCATCCAACGTTCATTAATTTTTTTCTCAATCCTCACACTCTTACCCTCACAGCTCTTCTTATCGTTTTTTTTATTTTTTTATTTTATTGCATTCAATTTTATTACTTTATCACTTGACGATTATTTTTCATTATTTTCCGTTGCTGCTCGTAGTAGACGTTACTCGATTAACGGAGAATGAGCTTGAAAGGAAAATTTCGCACAACAAGGGGCCGATTAACTAGTAAAAAAAAAAAAAAAGATCAACAAAATAAGGGTAGACAGGGTCAGTATAAATTAGAATTTACTGAGAATTAAAATAAAATGAAAGATGCGGTGTCCCAAGGATTTTCCAAACAACTTAATGGTACTAATGAACCCAAGTGCCTCTGGTAGATATTTGGGCATATGATTGTATGCTGAAAATTTTATACGAGCCAACGGATTAGAAAACGAAAATCATGGGGTGAAAAAACAATCAACGAGAAAGAAAATAAATGTAGCATAAACTTTTTACGACACGAAATGAAACGAGTCCACGTTAGAGTCAATGTCGCCATTGCACAGCATCTTCTTCGATATATTAAATGTACTCGTGAATTAAAACAGACTAATAACAATAACGATTATAGCCAAATTTGTGTGAAAACAGTCGAGTATCGTAAGAACAACAACAATTACATGGTTTTGTAATAATGAGTCGGTGTTGATTCATGAAACTCCAAAAAAATTTTCACAATGACAATTTTTTACTGTCTAAAGAATAATAATACGCAAAGTGTTGTAACGCACAAAATTTTTAACAATTGAAATTTAAAAAGTTAATGACTGCCGTATCTTGATAATTCGATAAAAAATATCTATAAAACCAAGTGCAGTATTTGGTCCTGAGTAATAGGGAGCTTTGTTGTATATGTATGCATATCGTGTGTTGTATATACGGAAAATAACAAATATAAATACTAAGAAGTGGTTTATACAAATACGAGTATAGATGTACGTCTGTTAGATAGGCATATGTATATGGTTTTTCGCCGGTAAGGAAATTAAAAAAAAAAAACACAACAAAAAACCCCAGTGGAAATTAGAAAAAATTAAAATAAAT